GGGGTGGACATTTTGTTTTGGGGGGGGGGGGTTATAGCTAATATTGGGGGTAACACCCCCTGCACCCCCACAAAGTCCGTCTATGATATAAATAAAGTTACTTAAGTTTAGGTTTCCTCCTGTGGTAACACTGGATCAATAAGAGATGATCCTAACTGGACCTCTTGGAAGAACAGTTTAGAACTGATAGAACTATCCAGTATATAAATAAAGTTAGTTTAGTTTGGGTTTCCCCCTGTAGTAACACTGGATCAATAAGAGATGATCCTTACTGGATCTCTAGAGAAAACAGTTTAAAACTGATAGAGCTATCCAGTATAAATAAAGTTAGTTTAGTTTAGGTTTCCTCCTGTAGTAACACTGAATCAATAAGAGATGATTCTTACTGGACCTCAAGGAAGAACAATTTAGAACTGATAGAACTATCCAGTATATAAATAAAGTTAGTTTAGTTTGGGTTTCCTCCTGTAGTAACACTGGATCAATAAGAGATGATCCTTATTGGATCTCTGGGGAGAACAGTTTATAGAACTGATAGAGCTATCCAGTATAAATAAAGTTAGAGAATGATATAAATGACTGGGTGAGATTTTACTCCGTGTCGCCTCTGGAAGCTCGTTTTTGATGGAATCTGAGCTGTGACTGCGCGGTGGAGGCAAATATCTGTAATCATGATCGGAAATTCGCGACGTGACATCGTCAGCAGTTTTACAACGTCGTTGACGTATCCATTCACGACTCCGAGGTTTTTCAATGTGTAAACTTGTTTGAAATTCTGGACATATAGCCTCATCGTACATCCTGTCGTCTTTTATCTGCGGTTCTGACTGTGCTGGATTCGAAAGTGGTCGACATTCAACTTTTTCAATTGATAAGCTGGCTTGCAATCCAGAGTCCTGTACATTTTTTCTTTGATTTTGTTGTGACTCCTCTTTTTTGGCGGTTTGCATTTCGCACACGACAGTGCTGATAGAATTAAGCTTCAGCAACACATCATTCATAAAACTTTTAACTTCGCCTATTTCGTTAACGACAACCGCATTTTCATGTTGATTGGAAAGATACAGTTCATTTACTTTGGTGATTACGTTTTTCTCGATATTCTGCAGCCGTGTCGATACCTGATCTATCTTTACTTCCAAGTTGGCTTGACTTTTGTTCAATTGATCTTGCTTCTCCCCTAATTTGACCATTTCGTCTCCAATTTCTCCACAATTATGACATTGTACTCTTCGGAATTCGCACAGTTCAGTTTCATGGTGGATTCTATCTCTTTTATTTATCTTCATTTCACAACCATCATTGCTACACGTAACAGGTGCAAACCCACATTGATCAAGATGGTTTTGAAGTCTGCCAAGTTGAACCCGATCAGAACACCCTCGCTCGCTGTAATTACATTTAATAGGCAATTCTGCAATACAATTCATTAACACTCTTGGAGGGGTACCTAATGTTTCAGGTGTTAATTCCTCCATACATTCAGGACATGTGTGGTAGTTCTCAAGATGTTGACCAATACATCCAAAGCAGAAGTAATGCTGATTGTTTCGACAACTCTTCGGGTCATTCAGAACGTTTAAGCAAATACTACACTTGAAATTCTCACTCACGGGACTTTCAAAACGATTTTCATCGAAGCCGGCCTCTAGTATCGCTCTCGTTGCCATTCTTAACTACAAAGTTAAAATATTTAAACATTAAGCCCCTTCTATCTGATAAGAACTCCTCTATCTTCGAACGGAAAAACAAATATTTAGATAAGGGCACAAGCACATATACAAATTTGCTTGAAGTCACCCAACTGCAACAAATTATTATCACATATTAAATGCATCTCATGCTATCTTTACGACATAAATTAGTTCAAATGAGTAAGGGACCACTATATATAAGTACACAGTATACTTATATGTAGTGGTTCCGCAAAGGTTCTGCATCGTAGATCAAATCATCTTGCAATGCAGGTTGCCGCCAACATTAACATTATTAATAATTTGTCGCAAAATCACGTTGTCGCCACACAACAAAATATGAACAATAGATTTTAAGCGATTATTTTCGCTTGAAGTATTGACTCGAACTGGGTAATAAGCACAAGTATAAGAAAAGTTAAAAGCAGTATCTATTCAGACTTGCGGATCAAACACAAAGTCAAATGTTTCTGGTTACGTTTTCTTGATAAATAAACAATCGAACGTCTGAATTCAAGCGCTTTCTCACCTACAATTGAAATGTATAAATTTCTCACTAGGACTTACTAGGAATATATACAGTGACCTACGAGATACGGTTCGATGCATCGGGCATCATTGTAGCAAAAACAAGTAACTTACCAAACCCAAGACAATAAGACATCCAAGAAGCAACACTTTTAAGCGACTCAAGCTTCTTTTCGTTTCTAGATAATGATATTCAAGAGGAATTCCCCGAATACGGCGATTTCATAATTTGGGTTCAAATTACATTATAACAATCGAACCAATAATCAATATCAAGTTAAAACCTGAACAACAGGAATTCCTTGTTCAATCCTGAAGAAAACTGTTGACACAAAACAAACGATTTACGAATCACGTCTATTTCATCTTTCACTCACGGCTCCGGATTAAATCGAAACTTTCTTTGATACGATTTTTTAATTAAAACACCATCAAGAGATTTATGTCATAATAATTGTAAATGTTAGACAGACCATATTTGACATCTTGTAATATAAACAGGACGCATTAAAACGGATTGCCGACTGAGCCCATTTTTTTATTTTACAAATTTTCTATCCGAAAACCAAGGATCAGTTCTCCTTACTTAGGTTGGGTTAATTATCCATGTGAGTCGAGTTGTGGTTACTTCTCTCCTGTGCTTCGAGCATTTTTTCTCGTTTTCTCTGTGAGCAAAAAGTTTTAAAATCAACGAAATCATAGACCATTTTCTCTGATTATTATTCAAGTAAGAATTTGGATGCTATATGTGTTAAAAATCTGTGTATATAAATTACCTACAAACTACGCGTTAAAATCTCACAACTTGTTACAAACCTTTCAAAGCTTTCGATAAGTCAGCTCATGGCCGCTTGTAAAAAACTCTCAACTGTTCGTTTTATGGTTGGAAATACTGTACCACACACTTAAAGCCGCACAAGTTGTTAAAGATCTGGAAACAAGTTGTAACAAGGTTGTTGTGAAGTCGATATCAGGATGTGTTCGCACTGCTTGTTACCAGTTGTTGTGACAAGTCTGGAACAAGTTGTTATCACCTTCTTACAAGGTTGATGATGGTAACAGACTTGCTGCAAGTTGTTCCAACAAGACATTAACAGGCTGTTCGTAACAAGTTGCCACGAGCTTGTTGTCATCAACTTGTTAACAACTTGTTACGTGCAGACGATATCAGACTTGTTGGAACAACTTGTTGCGAGTCTGTTGGCCTCGTCAACCTTGACAAAGTTGTAACAATATTGTTATATCATGACTGTATCGGACTTGTTCGAACAACCTTGCAACAAGTCTGACAATATCAACAAGGTTGTTACAAGTTGTTCCAAACTTGGTGATAATTTGGGACAAGCAGTGCAAACACAACTTGTTGACGGCTTGTTGATAGACTTGCTACAAGATGTGAGATTTTCACGTGATTTTTACGCCGAGTTCAAACGACACACAACCTAAAGTAAACAACCTGCACTCGTTTGCAATGGTCCATTGTACACACGTAAAAATCTCACAACTTGTCAACAAGATGTGTTCGCAACAGGCTTGTAGCAAGCTTGTAACAATGCTGTTATTTTATCAAGTTGCTACAAGGTTGTCACTCACAACTTGTTGACAAATTGTTGAATTACAGGACGATAACAAGTTGTT